AAAAAAAAAAATATAAAAAAAAAAAAAAAAAAAAAAAAGCTGCTCACAGTTTGCTCAAACAGCCAGACTTTGACTATATTTGTAACTCTGACCACCAAAAAAAACCAAAAACAAAAAAACAAAAAACAAAACAAAAAAAACAAAACCAAACATACATCACAGAAGCTGCGCTTAATAAGAGCCACTTCTAAGAGTTCGTGCAAAGAGTCATATACAAAGGCACAGCAAGGACATACTGCTTGGAATCACAGTTTTCGTCACAGATTCACTATTCACTACACGTAGGACAAGTTCAGTTGATTTCATCATTTCACCTCTACGACAGCATTAATTACACAGAAATTATATAGGTAGTTTGAATAAAAATATTTTTAACAGCTTGGAGCTATACGGACATTAACACTTGACCACACATGCACAGTTAAGCAGGTTGAGTGCAACACATAACATTTGTACTAAACCGGGGGAGGGTTTCTTTCTCTCTCTCTCTCTTTTTTTCCCTTTTTATTTTTTTTTTGTTCTTTTTTCTTTTGCTTTTTTTTTTTAACAGTTACTTCAAGTAACACAGCTTGCTTCATATAAATAAGTTAAAACATCTATTATTTTTTCAAGACAAAGCCATTCAAGACAAAGAAATGTACGATAAAAGCAGATCTACTTATACACGCGAGAGAATGGTAATAAACAGGCTCATGATTAAAAGATGAATAAGGGCGACAAGAACAGGGTTTCTTCACAGAAGTAACACAAGGAAGTTTTAGAAAGTCAACTTAGTACTGACATGAAACGCAGGGTCAGCTAATACTGCTCAGTACTTTTAATTGATCAAATGCTTAGGGACGGAATGCCCCCCCTGCAGCTGCCATGCTCATACTTTTCAGCTTATTATCCTTTTTCCATTTCATTCTCCTGTTTTGGAACCAGATCTTTATTTGTCTCTCTGAGAGGCAAAGAGCATGTGCTATTTCAATCCTTCTTCTGCGGGTCAGGTATCTATTGAAGTGAAATTCCTTTTCCAGCTCCAAGGTCTGATACCGGGTGTAAGCAGTCCGAGCTCTTTTCCCTTCTGGTCCCCCTATGTTGTCTGGAAGAGAAAAGTACAGCGTTTAGATTCCCAGCAGCGACGTGGAGCCCTCGTGTCTCCCTGCAGCTCCGAGCCACTAGGACCGTTATCCTCAGCCCGGCTCGGTTTTGTTGCCGGGCTGGAGAAATGCTCAACAAGTTTCCCCCTCCTGCCCCTTTAGAAAAGCCTTTGGGGGAGGGGGACCTGGCGGCCGTGCTAAGTTTCCGCTCGGATTTCGGTTTCGCTCTTTCTACAAAAGAGATTTTAGCGCGTTTTCCAGGCGAATCCCCCTCTCTCCTCCCCCGGCTCGGCTCTGCGGAGGACGCCTGCGGTGCACGCCGGGGCTCTCGGGGCCGCGGAGCGAGGCAGAGGCGCGCAGCCCTTTCCCACGGAGGAGCTCCGGGAGGCGGCGAACCCCCGGCGCTCCCCGGCGGGCCGGGCGCGGCAGGTAGCGGGGCCGGGGCTCTCCGCACCCCTCCGCCCGCTCCCCGCGGTCAGGGCGGTGCTCCCCCCCCCTCCTCCCCTCGCCTTCCCGGCGGCGAGAGTTGCCCTCCTCGCCCCCTGCTATTCTCTTTTCAATTCGGCTTGGGAACACAAATAGGGTCGGCAGCGCCGTTCCCCGCGGAGGGTCCCCCCGGAAGGGCAAAGGCAGGAGCGGCCCCGCTCCGAGAAAGGCTCCCGCAGCCCCCCGCTCCCCGAGAGCCGGCCGGACGCTGGGTCGGGGCCGGGCGCTGCCGCTCTCCGGGGGGAGCTCCCGTAGAGGGAGCGAGGGTTGCGCGCTCCCACGCCCTCCTCTCCCCCTCTTCCCGACCTCGCTCGGCACGGACACCGGCTTTACATTCAATCCTGCTTTTCCTCCAGAGAAATAAAGAAAGAACAGGGTATTTGCTTTACCATGACTTATGTGCAGCTTTCGCATCCAAGGGTAGATCTGGGGCTGGGAAGGCTGTGCTGTGCTTTGGTCGCTCGGGGCACTTGCCTGCTCGCTGCTCGCCGGAGTGTCTTCCTCGGTGCCAGACGAGGTGCCAACCCCGTCCCTGCTGATGTGCGTGCTGCTGCTGGAATTGGACGAAGTGCTGCTGGAGTTGCCCAGGGAGTTTTTCACCCCGTGGTGACTCTCGCTGACGGGCGAAGCGGCCACGGCGGTGCAGGGCAGGGGGTCGGGGGGAGGCGAGTGGGAAGCGGCCGCGGACTGGCTGTACCTGGGCTCTGTCGAGGCAGAGGTGCTGTTGGCCGGGTAAGAGCGGGCTCTCTCGCTGGCACCAAAGTGGGTGGAAGCAGAGCGCCCGACGCTGAGGTCCATGCCATTGTAGCCGTATCCGTACCTGCCGGAGTGCATGCTGGCGGAGTCCCTGTATTGCTCGCTCACCGAGCTGTGATCTCCATAATTATGTAACTGGTAGTCCGGGCCATTTGGATAGCGACCGCAAAATGAGTTTACAAAATAAGAGCTCATTTGTTTTTTGATATGTGTGCTTGATTTGTGGCTCTTGGTCGTTTTGTGCGTCTATAGCACCCTTGCACAATTTATGATGAATTATGGAAATGACTGGGACATGTACTTGGTTCCCTCCTACGTAGGCACCCAAATATGGGGTACGGCTTCAAATCACGTGCTTTTGTTGTCCAGTCGTAAATCCTGCCTGATGACCTCTAGAGGTAAACTCGTGCACTGGTGGGG